GAATAAAGTTAAAATCTTTCGCAATTACAGTAAAACGCACGCCAATAAAAAGTCACTTACACGTCTTCGTTTCGAATCTGATGAATGAAAACGGTGAAGCGAACACGTTTCTTCGGTCGTGTCGAGTGGGTGCTGCTTTTAAGCTAGTGCCGCGTTCTACAGGACGTGAGGTGAATAAAGTTAAAATCATTCACAATTACTGTAAAACGCACGCCAATAAAAACTCACTTACACATCGTCGTTTCGAATCTGATGATCGAAAAATGCGAAGTGAAAATGTGTCTCGGTGTCGTCGTTCCGTAGCATCGGGTGGGCGTTGCCTGTATTTAAGCTCCCGCGGCAGGATGTCTCAATCCGGGTTACGGGTAGTGGAATTTCCGCTTACGTAAGTTCCGGTAACATGTAATATCGTAGTCAAAATGTTAATGCACAGGTTTTTGTTCCGGGTGAAGGAAATTCCTTTTCATAGAATTCCGGGGATGGGAATATTTACTGTATACTGTATTCGTATAAAGCACCAATGTCTAGCATGTATATCACTTTCTTCATTATTAAATTCTCTTTACTTCTTTTCCGCCCTCCATTGTCACCGTTATCCACATGATAAATGCAGCTCATTCACAACCTACTGAGGCAGTAACAAGAGCAACCTGGGCTTCACTGACGCCCTCAAAATAATCGGGCAAGGTTCTGTAGTGCAGTAACTGGTTATTTAAACCTTCAAGTCTGCCTCACAATTCAGCTCAAAACCTAAGGTGATAGCAGCGAATCGCCCGTGCCAGCTCCCAGGGGAATAACATCCACATATTAAAGGAGTATATATATATATATATATATATTTATATATATATTCTTAAAAAAAATTTTTTTTTTGCCGTACCACGAGAGAGAGCCTTTATACCATGAGTGATACTTGAATCACACTTTGAGAATCGCTGTGATACATTGCAACACTGTAGAAAACATTGCATGTACTCTCGTGAAACTTTACCTGTTTACACAGAGCCATTTCTACTTGTCATCATTAACTTTCATTAGTTTTGTCTGTTCCAGCAGCGACAATGATGATGCCTTTTATCACCAAATAACAGCCAACATATAATTAGGATGATTACTGTTATGACATGTGAGTCCAATTGTATTTTTCTAATCACTAATTTACTGTGAAATATTAGAAAAAATCTTATTATATTGCTTAGAAGATGTAGCCATTTATTCAAGACATGCACTTTTTTATGGCTTCATTTCCCACATGGTCATATTGGAGAGTGCAAGAACATATCAATTAATTTATGAAGTAAACGTTCACTGTACAGTATTTTCCGCACAAAAAGACGCACTGGATTATGAGGCGCACCTTCAATGAATGGCTGTTTTGTAAAATTTTTTCATACATTGGACACTTCGCATTCTAAGGCGCAATCTACAATGCCTCCACTAGATGGTGCTATGCTCCTTCCATTCAACTTGAGAGGCGTTCATGACCACCTCTGAAAAACCTAAATTAACTATTACTGTACGGTGAAACTCCTCTACAACGAAATCATGTTTGCAGCAAGAAATTTTTCACAACAGGGGGTTTTTCACCGTGGCAAATTTGATCTCAGATGTAAGCACACACACACACACACACACACACACACACACACACACACACACACACACAAACGTATGCGTATACGCACACACAAATGTATGTGTACTCTATTTTTATTCCAATAGTGCATAAGTATGAGCACACACTTATTTGACACTTCATATAGTCAGTGTAGAAAGAAAAAAAAGGGCAAGAAATTGCGAAATTTACGATCAGCATTCACTTTCACTTACATGAATTTCCTGGATAATGTCTTTCATTTTGCTTCCTCCGTCTTTCATTTTGACCACTTTTCCCCTCTCTTCCAGCATCAGAGCTCTTCTTGTCTTAGCTGCTTGACATCGAAAGGTCCGTTTTGTAGCCATTTTAGCAATGCAACGTCCAT